CCCTATGTCCTCACACAGAACTCGTCATCCTTATGGAGGTCTTCAGGGGCCCCAGAGACACTGCAGAGAGTGTCAGGGATTTCTTTCCCCACAGCAGAATTGCTGAGGGCCTGGGAAGCATGGAGGGAGAAAGCAGGATTGCAAGACCACCGGCGCATTGGGAAGGTACAGAGATTGGCAAGATACGGCGGGATGGTGGTAAGGGTGGAAGGTGAGAGAGGTGACGGAACCTGATTATGGAGTTGGGAGCAGATTCAGTCACACAGCCTGAGCAGCTCTGTCTTCTGGGTTCCAAAGCTACCTCCTTGCCCTTGAAGTGACCCAATATTGCCATTTCTCACTGCAGGAACAGGAGCTCTTCTTCTTCCATGAACTGAGCCCTGGGAGCTGCTTCTTCCTGCCACGAGGGACAAGGGTGTATAATGCACTAGTGGCGTTTATCAGGGTAAGGGGACCCGGGTCTAGAGGAAAGAAGACCAGGGAAGGGCTGAGGGCCTAGAAGAAGCTAAGGTGTTTGTGTTAAAAGAGGGGGGTTGGGGCCTGTCGCGGTGGCTCACACCTGTAATCCCAGCATGTTTCGAGGCCAAGGCAGGCAGATCACCTGAGGTCAGGAGTTCGAGACCAGCCTGGCCAACATGCCAAAACCATCTCTACTAAAAAAAATTACCAAAACTTAGCTTGGCATGGTGGTGGCACCTGTAGTCCAAGCTACCGGGGAGGCTGAGGCAGGAGAATCACTTGAATTCAGGAGGCGGAGGTTGCAGTGAACTGAGATTGCACCACTGCACTCCAGCCTGGGCGATAGAATGAGACTCCATCTGGAAGAGAAAAAAAAGGGACAAGGATTGGAAGCATAAACATAAATACTGAAAACTGCTGGTGACCTTTAATACTACAGTTGTGTGGTCTGCAGGTGGGGGGCATAGAGACAGGACATGGTTTTTTTTTTTTGAGACAGAGTTTCGCTGTTGTTACCCAGACTGGAGTACAATGGCATGATCTCGGCTCACTGCAACCTCCGCCTCCTGGGTTCAAGCAATTCTCCTGTCTCAGCCTTCCGAGTAGCTGGGACTACAGGTGCGCACCACCATGCCCAGCTAATTTTTGTGTTTTTAGTAGAGACGGGGTTTCACCTTGTTGACCAGGATGGTCTGGATCTCTTGACCTTGTGATCCACCCGCCTCGGCCTCCCAAAGTGCTGAGATTATAGACGTGAGCCACCATGCCCAGCCAGGACATGGTATTTAATAGGTTGTGGTTGCAATCAGCATGGCCTAAGGCCCCAGGAAGATCACACAGCTGACGCTCTGCCCCTGTTCCTTCCAGTTATTCTGACCTTCCATGTCTCTACCCTCCTCTCCAGGCTGAGTATGCCCGCCGTGGTTTCTTCGAGGTGAAAACTCCCACACTGTTTTCTACGAAACTCTGGGAACAGTCAGGGCATTGGGAGCATTATCAAGAAGACATGTTTGCCGTGCAGCCTCCAGGCTCCGACAGGCCTGCCAGCTCCCAGAGTGATCACTCTACCAGGCATACCACAGACACACTTGCCCTCAAGCCCATGAACTGCCCTGCACACTGGTGAGCTGGGAGCTAGGATTATAATCAGGTTGCTAAATAGTAAATAATAGAAAGCACCTTGGGTCAAGGCACACTGGCTCACGCCTGTAATCCCAGCACTTTGGGAGGCTGAGGCAGGCAGATCACCTGAGGTTGGGAGTTCAAGCCCAGCCTGACCAACATGGTGAAACCCCGTCTCTACTAAAAATACAAAATTAGCTGGGCATGATGGTGCATGCCTGTAATACCAACCACTTGGGAGGCTGAGGCAGGAGTACTGCTTGAACCCAGGAGGTGGAGGTTCCAGTGAGTCGAGATCACGCCACTGCACTCCAGCCTGGGCAACAAGAGGGAAACTCCATCTCAAAAAAAAGGAAAACACTTTGGAAGAGTATTGGGACACTTGGTTTGAGTCTAGAATCTTCCCTGTAGCTAATCATGTGAATTTGGGAAACTCATTTTACCTCTTTAGGTCTCAGTCTCCTTAAAGTTGCTATCTAAGGTTCCTCTTTCCGTTCAGTGACCGTCGCAGAACAGGGCAACAATAAATGATGTCTCTTAGTGTTTTACTGAGAAATCCACTTTGGAACCAGGCAGGGCTCAGACTGTGGTGAGCGGGATTGACAGGACTCAGTGGGAGCAAATGCTGAGGCTGGAGAGGGATGTAGCTGATGGTGCAGAGAAAGTAGGCAAGCAGATTGGGTGGGAGAGCAGTCTTCAGGGGCTAGTCCTCTCTATGACCCTGACCCCTCCCCACCCCAACCTCAGCCTGATGTTCGCCCACCGGCCCAGATCCTGGCGGGAACTGCCCCTGCGACTCGCTGACTTTGGGGCCCTACACCGGGCTGAAGCCTCTGGCGGTCTGTGCGGACTGACCCGACTGCGGTGTTTCCAGCAGGATGATGCTCACATCTTCTGCACAACAGATCAGGTGGCCTTTCCCTGGCTTCACCAAAGCTTTTCTAAACCACCTTCCCTTCTCCCTATGAACCTGCACAAACCCCTGATCTTCAGTTGTCCCCTGTATGTACTATAATTCAGCTACATTCTACCCCTAGCTTGCTTCTGCTTCCTCTGTTTTTACCCTCTGTTTCCTCAAACTGCCACTATCCCAGATTCCTAGCTGGCTCACAGCTCCCCCACCCTTATTTCCTGCCCCCAGCTGGAAGCAGAGATCCAAAGCTGTCTTGATTTCCTCCGTTCCGTTTATGCTGTTCTTGGTTTCTCCTTCCGCCTGGCACTGTCCACCAGGCCATCTGGCTTCCTGGGAGACCCTTGCCTTTGGGACCAGGCTGAACAGGTGAGTAGGAGGTAGAGAAATAGAGGCAGATAAACCATTCTTTAGTGAAAAGGAGTGGGGAATACATTAACCAGGGTTCTCCAATAGAGGCATCTGATGAAGGCATCATTTGTTAGGGACTGACCAGATGTGTTCCTTTTGAAGTCTAAGATGAGGTATTCCCGTCTCATTCCTTCTAAAGGTCCTTCAACAAGCCCTGAAGGAATTTGGAGAACCCTGGGACCTCAACTCTGGAGATGGTGCCTTCTATGGGCCTAAGGTAAGCTTGGGACCCTGGTCAGTGTTATATTTATTTATTTTTTGCTTTGTTTTAGAATAATAGATAAAAATAAATTTTTCTTTTTATCTATTATAAAAATTAGCCTGGCTAATTTTTTGTTTGTTTGTTTTGTTTTGTTTTTTGTTTTTGTTTTTTGTATTTTTTTTGTTTTTTTGTTAGCCTGGCTAATTTTTTATTATTTTTAGTAGAGATTGGATTTAACCATGTTGGCCAGACTGGTCTTGAACTCCTGACCTCAGGGAATCCTCCTGCCTTGGCCTCCCAAAGTCCTGGGATTACAGGCATGAGCCACTGCTCCCGGCCACAAAGAAATATCTTTAAATTTATGTAGGATATAAAAAAAAGACTAATATATTTACTGCCCTCTTGTCATTTGCAATCTAGGGAGGGCTGTTTAAGGTAAATAGGCCATGTCACTGCTGTGAGATCAGTGCTGTGTAGGTACTAAGAGAGCACATTAGCAGGGCTTAGCGTTACTTGGGGAGGTCACAAAAGGTTTCCGCAGGAATCACTTTCCAATCTGAAAGGGGAGTGTTGGCCAAGTAAAGCTGTGTTTCAGGAGGCGGTAGTGTAGGCAGAGGCCGGGGATAGGGATGAAAACTCACATGGCAGACCACTCTGTCTCTACCAAAAGAAAAATTAGCTGGACACGGTGGCTCATGCCTATCATCCCAGCTACGCAGCAGGTTGAGATGGGAGAATCACCCGAACCCAGGAGGTAGAGGCTGCAGTGAGCCAAGATCACGCCCTACTGCACTCCAGCCTGGGTGATAGAGTGAGACCTTGTCTCAAAAACAAAGAAGTCTGGGGAAAAAAAAGGATTGAAAAGTATCCACTGGATTTAGTAAAAAGGCTGCTGGATTTTAAAGGACCATTTTCAGTAAAGTAGGGCCCGAGGGTGGAGTTAGAAGTGAATAAATGAGACCTGTGTGGTGGCTCATGCCTGGAATCCCAGCACTTTGGGAGGCTGAGGCAGGCAGATCACTTGAGGTCAGGAGTTCGAGACCAGCCTGGCCAACATGACAAAACCCCTTCTCTACTAAAAATACAAAAACTGGCTGGGTGAGGTGGTGCATACCTGTAGTCCCAGCTACTCGGGAGCCTGAGGCAGGAGAATCGCTGAACCTGGGAGGCAGAGGTTGCAGTGAGCCAAGATCATGCCACTGCATTCCAGCCTCAGTGACAGAGCAAGACAACGTCCCCAAAAATAAAAATAGTCTGGGCGCAGTGGCTCAGGCCTGTAATCCCAGCACTTCAGGAGGCCAAGGCAGGTAGATCACCTGAGGTCAGGGGTTCAAGACCAGCCTGACCAACATGGTGAAACCCTGTCTGTATTAAAAATACAAAAATTAGCCCAGCATGGTAGTGGGTGCCTGTAATCCCAGCTACTCAAGGGGCTTGTTCTGTTGGGTTTTTTTGAGACAGAGTTTAACTCTGTTGCCCAGGCTGGAGTGGAGTGGCACCATCTCGGCTCACCACAACCTTCACCTCCTGGGTTCAAGCGATTCTCCTGCCTCAAACTTCTGAGTAGCTGGGACTACAGGCACCTGCTACCCAGCTAATTTTTGTGTTTTTAGTAGAGACAAGGTTTTCCATGTTGGCCAGGCTGGTCTGTAACTCCGGACCTCAGGTGATCCACCTGCTTTGGCATCCCAGAGTGCTGGGATTACAGGAGTGAGCCACTGTGCCTGGCCTGGCTAAAATCTTTTGAGTACTCAAAGTTGCTGTTCACTGTGTTGGGGTCTTTTATTCAGGTAACATGTGTATTCCTCATGTTTGTGTCCCAAGTGTCTATTCCAGCATATGGTATTTATTTAGCTGCTTCAATAAGTAGTTAGTAGATGAAAACACTAACATTAATGAAATTGTGTCTTATGATTTATTTCAGCAATAATACTAGGCAAATAAATATCTTTTAAGAAAAAATTGAGAGAGGTTAAACAGTGTGCTTAAGGTTACAGAGATAACAGTCATAAACTGTACAAAGTGTATTATGTTGAATCAATCTAATAAGTTGTTGGCTAAGAAACTGCTATAAAAAGAGAGAGCAAACAGCTGGAAAATTCATGAGAACAAAGCATAGAGCTTATTAGGGCAGCCCAAAGGGTTCCTGGCAATAGCCAAGGACCAGCTGAATCTCGAAACACTGACTTCCATGGTGGCATCAGTCTCTGCTTTTGCATCTGTATGGTTTGTGGCATATTGGGCAGCATTGAGCAGTCCTCTTGCAGGGCCACAGATGTAGGTACACAGGAACTAAGGAAAATGGTACAGCTTCATGGGAAAAGAAACAAAGGTGGGAGGGGCCTGAGGATGGGAAAGAAAAAGAAGAGTTAAAGGACCTTCGGGTTGAGCACCAGTAATAGGAGTAATTGTCATGACCAAGTGTGGTGGCTCACACCTGTAATCCCAGCACTTCGAGAGGCTGAAGTGGGCAGATCACTTGAGATCAGGTGTTTGAGACTAGCCTGGCCAACATGGTGAAACCCATCTCTACTGAAAAACAACAACAACATATATATATATATATATATATGTTAGCTGGGCAGGTGGGCGCAGTGGCTCACGCCTGTAATCCCAACACTTTGGGAGGCCGAGGTGGGCAGATCACCAGGTCAAGAGATCGAGACCATCCTGGCCAACATGGTGAAACCCTGTCTCTACTAAAGAATACAAAAATTAACTTGGCGTGGTGGCGTGAGCCTGTAGTCCCAGCTACTAGGGAGACTGAGGCAGAAGAATTGCTTGAACCCAGGAGGCAGAGATTGCAGTGAGCTGAGATTGCGCCACTGTACTCCAGTCTGGCGCCTGGCAACAGAGCAAGACTCTCTCAAAAAAAAAAAAGTTAGCTGGGCATGGTGCCAAATACCTGAAGTCCCAGCTACTCATAAGGCTGAGGCAGGAGATTTGCTTGAACCCAAGGGGCGGAGGCTGCAGTGAGCTGAGATCGTGCCACTGCACTCCTGCCAGGATGACAGAACGAGACTGTGTCTCAAAAAAAAAAGAATAATTGTCAGAGCTGGCTGACCAAGAAACAGTAATCAGAGTAGGGTGTTTGATGGACTGTTTCAGAGACACAGCCATGGGGGAGATGACAGGATACAGGGTGTAGCCATAGTTTGGGCGGTGATCACTGAGATGAGAAGCTCAAGGAATCGAGAGGTCAAGGTGTGGACATCTGGTAATATTATACCATCCATTAGTAAGTGGAGAGAGCTGCTGAGAACTGCTGCCAGAGTGAATGGAGTAGAGTGAAGTGGAGGGGTAGCGTATGATGGAGCGGGTGACATGGCTCTTTTTTTTTTTTTTGAGACGGAGTTTCGCTCGTTACCCAAGCTGGAGTGCAATGGCGCGATCTCGGCTCACTGCAACCTCCGCCTCCTGGGTTCAGGCAATTCTCCTGCCTCAGCTCCTGAGTAGCTGGGATTACAGGCATATACCACCATGCCCAGCTAATTTTTTGTATTTTTAGTAGAGATGGGGTTTCACCATGTTGATGGTCTCAATCTCTTGACCTCGTGATCCACCTACCTTGGCCTCCCAAAGTGCTGGGATTACAGGCTTGAGCCACCGCGCCCGGCTGACATGACTCTTTCAGTAGCCCAGGATGAGGGTAGGTTAAAAGGTGGGATGGCACGGATAATGGTTGTGGATAGTGCTTCTGGCTTATCTCGTGCCCTCCCATCTGTTTCCTGTAGATTGATGTGCACCTCCACGATGCCCTGGGACGGCCACATCAGTGTGGGACAATTCAGCTTGACTTCCAACTGCCCCTGAGATTCGACCTTCAGTACAAGGGGTATAAAACCTTGTCCTATCCTCTTTTCCCTTGAAAGCCCATGGAATAGGTCTATAACTCCCCCTCTGCCTTTGGCCCTAAAACTAAACCCTCCACACCCTCTCCTGCCAGAGCTGAATATTTCTTAAAAACTGGAAGGTGATCTTGGATACACAATTTGTGACACTTCCACCATTCCATCCACCCTCTTTTTTCCTTTCAAGGCAAGCGGGCGCCCTGGAGCGTCCAGTCCTCATTCACCGAGCCGTGCTCGGTTCTGTGGAAAGACTGTTGGGAGTACTGGCAGAAAGCTGCAGGGGAAAATGGTAAGACCTCTGACCCCGGATTTCTGTTCTGGCCCCAAACCAGAGAGTTTATGCTCCAGACCCTGTCCCCCTTCATATGCCATACTTTCCTTTCCTCCTCAAATCCGCTCCATACAACCATACTTCTGGCCAGACCCAGAGTGAATATTTTGTCATCATCTCTTCTTTCCCAACCAGGCCACTGTGGCTGTCCCCGTTCCAGGTGGTGGTCATCCCTGTGGGGACCGAGCAAGAGGAGTATGCTAGGGAGGTAAGGAGTTGGGGTAAGGGAAGGGGCAGAAGCAGGCCCAGTAGAGAGTCTGGTGCCCAGCAGTGGGCAGGAAGAGGCCGCACGGGTGGTGGAGGAAGGAGCACAGCCCTTGGAGCCACAAGACTGGGCTGCAGTGGCTGCTGTCCTAGATGCTGGAAATCCTGTATCTCAAAAATGTGACTAATCTCTACCTTATAGAGATGTATGAAAATTAAACAAATTAACAAATATTGAAAGCTGCCACAGAGCGCTGGGCACAGAAATGGGATTGAGTACACAGCTTTATTTTTCCTTTCTAGAGAGGACTGAGGATACGGATGGTACCAGAGTTGAGCAGCTGGTTGGGTAGAGCAGTGCCTAGGAGGCAAAGTCCAGGAAACAGTTGGGAGGTTGTCTCCAGTAGGAGGCAGACAGAAAAGTTGCAGGGTTGGGGATGAATGGGGAGGAGGTCTCAATGTGGAGATGAAATGAGGAGAGGTTGCTGGTGAGAAGTGGAGAGCCCCGAGGCAGAGGAAGGAGCAGCAGATGGGGAGACTGAGGGAAAGGAATATCAGACTGTTCTAGTTCCTCAGCTTTCCGATAAATTGACTTCCTGACACCAAACCTCTGTCGCAGACGCAGCAGAGCTTGCAGGCTGCAGGACTGGTCTGTGACCTGGACGCGGACTCCAGACTGACCCTCAGCCGGAGAATCCGTCGGGCCCAGCTTGCCCACTACAATTTTCAGTTTGGTAAGCTGAACCTCAGGCTGGATGTTCTCCCACTTGCCATCTGCATTCTTGCTGTTAAGTTTACCAAGTTTGGTAATGCATATTTGGGTTAATTGGGGCTCATTACCTGAGCGGGTAGGAGCCAGGATTCAGGGCACCTGACTCATTTAGGCCCTGTGTTCCTTCACACTGCCCTGCCCTCCCCATAACCACTTCTGACCCTCAAAATAGCTTTCCTGTTTTTAACTCCACTCTAGCTCTTGGTGTCTGTTAGGTTAATTAACCAAGGGAGCATCAGAGAGAAAGGGATGAGAGGGCTAATATGGTGTTCATTATACTTGTTTATTCTGGATCTAGATCGAGTCAGCCCTAAGAGATGAGGAGAAAGGCCTTAGGGAGAAAATTCTGGCACTGCCCATGCTCCCTTTTTTCCATTTTCCACAGTTCAGAGCTCCATCTCAAAGGCAAGGAGCAGAAACTCCTCCACCAGATGACCTGATTCTTGAGTTTTATACACCCTACTTACCCCACGAGCACCCAGCGCAGGCTGTGCCGCAATCCCATGGACTTGCATATGGCCCCTTTCCCTCCCCTACTGCCCAGTCAGCCCCTGCATTCATCCTCCTCAGCAGAGTCCCCTCAGTCTGTGAATCCAGCCCTAATAGACACCAAGAGCCAGAGTGGGACTGATGAGAGGAAACTGTTCTAAGGGTCAGAAATGGTTGGGGGGAGGTGGGGCCGCGTGAAGGCCACACCACTCCTGCCACCCTCCCCTTCCTCTAATACCCCCTTCAGATACCCACACACAGTTTCTCTCTTTGGGGTTCTCAGTGTTTGTCTTTCTCTGCTTGACTCCAATGTCTCTGACCCCGGGGCTCCTGACCAGAAGCAGTAAGGCCTGCAGGGACTAAAGCATTTCCTTATCTCCTCCGGATGAGCAGGGACTGGCCATTTAGCCTTTTGCAGGCGCAGCTAAATACGTCCTTTCTGTGAACCATTTCTGGGCTCTGCTCCCACCTTTCCTAAAGATTTAGGTCTCTCAGGTTTCTGCAGAGCAAAAGAAACTATCCCATTGGATGGATTTGCCCTGAGGTTCCCAAACTGTCTCTTCCTGCAGTGGTTGGCCAGAAAGAGCAAAGTAAGAGTACAGTGAACATTCGGACTCGAGATAACCGTCTCCTAGGGGAGTGGAGCTTGCCTGAGGCTGTGCAGCGGCTGGTGGTGCTACAGAACACCAGGGTCCCAAACGCTGAGGAAATTTTCTGACCCTTTGTATGCAGATGAGACAAAAGCCTTCGAGAGCCATCAGCCCCCCTTACATGGGAGGCCCCAACCCAGCTGACAGTGTGGAGCCCCCAGAACCTCAGAACTATGTGGAGGCATGTGTCTGCTCTCCTGAAAAGATACTTGGTTTGGGGACCCCACAAAGGGAGGGAAACTGTCACTGTTTCGATGGGAGGAAAATTTAAAAAAATAATAAACTGGGCTGGGCATCGTGGCTCACACCTGTAGTCACAGCACTTTGGGAGGCTGAGGTGGGCGGATCACCAGGTCAGGAGATCGGGAGCATCCTGGCTAACGTGGTGAAACCCCGTCTCTACTAAAAATACAACAAAAAAATTAGCTGGCCATGGTGGCGCACACCTGTAGTCCCAGCAACTCTGGAGGCTGAGGCAGGAGACCTGGGAGGCAGAAGTTGCAGTGAGCCGAGATCGTGCCATTGCACTCCAGCCCGGGCGACAAAGTGAAACTCCGTCTCAAAAATAAATAAATGAAATAAACTGGAAGCTGCTGGGCGTGTGTCTTCATCTCTGACTCCAGAGAGGGGTGATAAAAGGACGTTCCACTTTGTTTCCCTCTTTTTTGTCCCAGAGAGTTAGGGAAATTGTAAAGGGACAGTCCAGACCTCGCACTGGTAGGGGAGATCCCTTGGATAGGTGTCCTGCTCCCCCATAAACTCCTTTGTGCCCTGTTTCCCCAACCCCGGTCTGTGGGTTGAGAGATAACCCTCTCCACAGAAGGCAGCATGTAGATGGAGAAACTGAGGCACAAACTGGGGGCTCAAACACCTCTTGCCCTTGATTCTCTGAATCAGTTTCTCTTGGGGTCATAAGAATGTTCTCCTCCCATCAGTCCCATTCTTCTCAATCCTCTGAGGAGGTTTCAGGGTGACTTGGGAGGAGTGGCTTCCAGAGGAGGAGCAGCTGGGACTGAGTCATGGCAGGAAGCTGAGGAGGGCGGGAGATCACACCAGACTTATAAAAGAAGAGCTAGTCCTGAAGCTCAGAGCAATAACAGCTCCCAGACAAGCTCCAGCGACCGGCGCTTCACATCCACCTGCCTGAGAAGACCCGCCTCTGGGTGTCCAGTGGTCAGTTCTTGCCCCAGGATGGGGACCACAGCCAGAGCAGCCTTGGTCTTGGCCTATTTGGCTGTCGCTTCTGCTGCCTCTGAGGGAGGTGAGTTGGAGGGTCCACCCTTGGGAAGGAGTCTGGGCTCACATAGCAGGGGTCTGGGTCCAGGCATCCCAGATGGCTTATCACTAGCAGAGTGGCCCTCTGGCTTCTCTTTTCTGAGCAGGCCCAAAGTGAGCCTGGGAACTGGAGCCTTAAACTAAGGAGGCAGAGAGCAGGGGTACAGAAGGAGAGGGGTTCCTAGAAACTGCTGCCAAGAAACACAGAATCCCAGTCAAGTGGACAGCTCAGTGGGGGTGGGTTCACAGAATGAGAGTCCCCTGCTGAGGAGCGTGCAGGGAGGGTGCTGGTGGGGCAGGCAAAGGAGGGAAAAGGGGCCCCTGGGCTGCTCAAAACCCCGATTGCTGGCCCAGCAAGCCTTGACTGAATCCCTGTCTGATTAGAGGAGGAGTTGTGGGATATCCATCCACAGACCCACCCTGCATTCAGCATGTACACATTCTTTATCTGCTTTGATGCCTAAACAAAACAGGAACTCCTCAATGCTCTGGGTTTCCAAGCATTGGAAAAACAAACACCCAGGGCACTCCAGCGGGAAGCCACTGAAAGGATGTGTAGATCTGTCTGCCTCTCTGCGAAGCCCCATGCCATTGTTCCTCCCAGCGCCTGGTCTTTTGTGTCTGCAGATCACCTACAAGTGATTCCCTTCCCTGTGCCTGTCCCAGTCCCCGAGGCCCTAAATTGAGACCTAAACTAAGGAGGAGCTGAGACTGGCTGAAGGGGAAGCACTCAACCTTTAGGAAGCCTCTTTTGCCAAAGGCCTCAAGATGTTTCAGGCCTGAAAGAGAAGGGTGGGTGGAGGAGGTGGGTTGGGGAGGCCCAACCAGCTCAAGGTCCAGACTTTTTCCTCTGAAAGCTAGAGACCATCCAAGCAGAGACTGTGGGGAGGACAACCCACAGCCCTGAGGGGAAGACGCTGGCAGAGGAAATGGGGGCCTCCCTCCCCAATGCCGTGTGGCACACTCCCTACGTCCAGCCTCTGAGGCAGTAGAGCTGGAGCTATCGGAACTCCACAGGCTTTCTCAGAGCCCAGCTGGTCGTGTCTAGGTGTGCTTGGGCTGGGAGACGATTAGGGAACACAGGGCAGGTGAGTACAGGGGCGTCTCTGTTTTGGTTGTCTGTCCTACGCCTTTGATCTCTCCAGCCTCCCCATCCCTTGCTGAGGTCCAGGGAAGGCCCTCCCAGCAGCCCCTGAGTTGCCCTTCTCCCTCCAGGCTTTGAGACTGCAGGGCAGGGGCAGCTGAGGCCAGAGCACATCATGCAGCACTTTCAAGAAGGTAAGAGTTTGGGGGAGCAGCATGAGACCAGGCTCCAGGAGGCGCTGTGGGCTCTGATGTCTCCCCTCTTGCCTCTAGTTGGCTACGCGGCTCCCCCCTCCCCACCCCTGTCCCGAAGCCTCCCGGTAGATCACCCTGACACCTCTCAGCATGGACCGCCCTTTGAGGAACAGAAGGAAAGTAAGGTCACCCCATGCCCTTCTCAGTGACCCTCCAGGTTTCTAATCTGGCCTACGTCCCGCCCTTCAGATGGAGGGAAGAGGCCCCCACCCTCTCTCCCAGCCCTGGCTAGGAGAAAGGTTGCACTGCTCACACATTCCCCCTTCTATAGTTCAGCCCTGTCAGGACACCACCCCTGTCCAACAGGAAGAGCTGCTACCTTCCAGATTCCCTGCTGAAAAGGAAGGTGAGCGCTTGCCCACCCTCCCTCACCTTCATCCCACTGTGGGCCATGTTGACACAGGCTGATCCCCATTCCTTGGTGCCCTCACCCCTATCTTGCAGTGCAAGATGGTTCCCCTCTCCCTCAGGAAGCTGTACCCCTCCAACAAGAGCCGCTCTCTCTCCAGCACCCCAGTGAACAGAAGGAAGGTAAGCAGCTCCCTCTCTTCTTCACCTACCTTTACCCCATGGCCTTCCCCCAGAGCGTGGGCTTTGGGGCAGACAGGATGGGTGGGCTCTGCCACTCACCAGTTGTGTAACGTTGGATAAGTTACATACTTCTCCAAGCCTTTGTTTCTTCATCTGTAAAACTGAGGACAAACCTGTTTTAGAAAGTGATGTGATGAAATGATAAAAATAGCATCTGTTTTCACTTGTTCTCTGCTGAGTCCTTTGTGTGTGTCCACTAGCCAGGCTCTCTGCTAGAGATGCTCATCCCTATGTGGCTTTTGCTCACTTCTTCTACACCAGTAGACCCACCTCTTCCATTTCAGGAGGGGATGATCTTCCAATCCATGCCAAGAGAGGATGAGTGACAGCTTTGGTCTGTCCATCCCCCTGCCTTAGCGCTCAGGTCCCTGGGGAGAGGAGCAGGAAGCCTGAGCCTTGAGAAGCAGGAGAAAGTGGGGGAAGGCTGTGAGCAGACACCTTTCACACTTCTCTTTTCCTTTCAGTCATTCTAAAAGGAAGAGCCACAAATTGTTCTTTCTCATTTCCCCCATATCCACCCAACCCTTTCTCCACCCCAGATTCTTTCAGTCCTCCCAGCTCATCCAGCTGTTGTGGGTTCCTCCACATGTCCCCCCTTCCCACTGTTTTCCCCATTCCAGGAACGCCAGCTCCGTTTGGGAACCGGAATCTTCCAGAACCTGAGTCCTGGAATGCAGCCCAGCACTGCCGACAGGGCCGGTCCCGAGGGGGCTGGGGCCACCGGCTGGATGGCTTCCCCCCTGGGCGGCCTTCTCCAGACAATCTGAATCAGATCTGCCTTCCTGACCGTCAGCATGTGGTATATGGCCCCTGGAACCTGCCACAGTCCGGCTACTCCCACCTCTCTCGCCAGGGTGAGACCCTCAATTTCCTGGAGACTGGATATTCCCGCTGCTGCCACTGCCGCAGCCACACAAACCGCCTAGAGTGTGCCAAACTCGTGGTAAGGTTGAATTTTTGGTGCCGGGGGGTGTCCTTTAACCCCCAGGCAGAATGTGTGTTTTAAGGGTTAGAACACTAGGCCTGGGTCTGGAGGAACCTCAGGTCCCATTCACTGGCTCTACCCTGGGGGTCCCCAGTGTGCCAGGGGAGCAGAGGACAGCCACTATTTCTTTTTTTATCTGCATGCTCAGGGTCCTTTCCTGGAGCCTGGGAGGAAGGCAGGAATGTGGACAGTGGGCTGATCCTCCCCTCTTGCTCTAGTGGGAGGACACAATGAGCCGATTCTGTGAGGCCGAGTTCTCGGTCAAGACCCGACCCCACTGGTGCTGCACACGGCAGGGGGAGGCTCGGTTCTCCTGCTTCCAGGAGGAAGCTCCCCAGCCACACTACCAGCTCCAGCCCTGCCCCAGCCATCAGCCTGATATCTCCTCGGGTCTTGAGCTGCCTTTCCCCCCTGGGGCGCCCACATTGGACAATATCAAGAACATCTGCCACCTGAGGCGCTTCAGCTCTGTGCCACGCCACCTGCCAGCGACTGACCCCCTCCGAAGGCAGCTGCTGGCACTGACCCGGCTGGAGAGGGAGTTCCAGCGCTGCTGCCGCCAGGGGAGCAACCACACCTGTACATGGAAGGCTGTAAGTGGGCGTCCCAGTCTCCCTGGGAGCCTGTTTGCCTGCCTGCCCATCTTCAACCTCTGATCCTGCCGGTCCATCCATCCGTGTATCCTCTGCTGTGAGCATGTCCACCCGTTCATCTGCTTGTGGCTGTCCGTCCATCCATGTGTTCGTCACCTGAGTCTTCATCTCCAGCTTCATACTACACCTCTGGCTTCCTCCACTCATGACCCACACATGCACCTGTCTGCCATCCGTCCATCCGTCCAGCTCTGGCCTCACCTGACCCTCTCCATTCACTGTTCCAGCTCATCTCCCGGCGCCAGCTTAGAACCTCATCCAGGCTCCCATCCGTCCACCGTCCCAAGCCTACACCTCCACAGCTGCCTCCTAACCCTCTAATTCTTTGTCATCCCCTTTGGGCCCCTGGGGCTGGGAGCCCCTCATCGAGTTGCCAGGGGCAATAAGGGAAGTCAGTGGTCAGGAGAGAAGGGGCCAAGTGTCCAGCTCTGACTTCCCTCTCTCTGGCCCACAGTGGGAGGATACCCTTGACAAATACTGTGACCAGGAGTATGCCATAAAGACCCACCACCACTCGTGCTGCCACTACCCTCCCAGCCCTACTCGGGATGAGTGCTTTGCCAGTCGGGCTCCCTACCCCAACTACGACCGGGACATCTTGACCATTGACATCAGCCAAGTCACCCCCAACCTCATGGGCCACCTCTGTGGAAACCACAGAGTTCTCACCAAGCAGTAAGTCTCGCCTAGTCCTTCCCCACTGTCTTCCTTTTTCCAAAACTACCCTTTGGGACAGCTTTGGAAAAGCAAAATCATGATATCCTATCGCCATCTGATGTCAGAAGATGCCCCAAATCCCTGACCTCTGCCCCTTTCACACCAACATAGTAAACATATTCCTGGGCTGATCCACAACATGACTGCCCGCTGCTGTGACCTGCCATTTCCAGAACAGGCCTGCTGTGCAGAGGAGGAGGTGAGTATGCACATTCTAGTCTCCAGAGGAATGCAGGGGAGGGGAGGAAAAGAGCTAGAACTGCAGCCTCCCCTTCTCTTAGTACCTCAAAGCAGCGCTCAGATATAATGGCTAGGAAGGGAGGTATTTTTTCTTGGTTCCAGAAGTCTTCATTCTGACCTGGTCTGCTCCCCACCTCTAAGTTCCTATCACACCTTCTCTGGGCCTCAAACTTCTGGCAGTTCCAGATGTACACATTTGTCAGTCACAAGAAATCCAGCTGTGCAAGGCAGGCTTGCATTCTCTTTGGGCTCCAAGAGGGGAACCAGGGACAGAGCAGTAGAAACTGATGAAAGGGGGACTTTGGCCGCCTGAGTATCCATATCTGGCCTTGGACCACCACCCCGCCCCATCATCTGTTCTACTTTTCTCCTTCATCAGAAACTAACCTTCATCAATGATCTGTGTGGTCCCCGACGTAACTTCTGGCGAGATCCTGCCCTCTGCTGTTACCTGAGTCCTGGGGATGAACAGGTCACCTGCTTCAACATCAATTATTTGAGGAACGTGGCTCTAGTGGCTGGAGACACTGAGAACTCCAAGGGCCAGGGGGAGCAGGGCCCAACTGGAGGAACAAATATCAGCTCCACCTCTGAGCCCAAGGAAGAATGAGTCACCCCAGGGCCCTGGAGGGTCAGATGGGGAGAACCCCACCCTACCACATCCCCCTGAACACTCATTACAGTAAACACCTCTTGGATTTGGTATCCTCATTGTCTGTCTAATGCCTCACCCGCAGGTTTTAAGTGGATCTTGGTGCCCTGGCCCAGGAGGGCACTGATGTGTTCAGATAACACGCAGACACACCCTCCTAAGCCTGCTTGGATTTCCTTCAGTGACTGGCTCCTGAGGCCCACTGCCCTGCCCCGTTCACTGAGCAGAAGTTCTACAGGCTGCGTGATGGGACCATAACTAAACAGCTTGATGGCATTTTGCCATCTTGAATTTATTCACATATTTTGAAAGGAGCACCACCTTGTTAGCCATCAGGACTCAAAGAAGTTCTCAGCCTTGGTGAGCCCCAAAATGTCACAGCCCAGCCTATATATATATATAAATGCACTTTAGGTTCTGGGTTACATGTAAAGAACATGGAGGATTGTTACATAGGTACATACATGGCAATGTAGTTTGCTGCCTCCGTCCCCATCACCTATATCTGGCTTTTCTCCCCATGTTATCCCTCCTCAACTCCCTATCCCCCACTGTTCCTTCCCTAGTCCCCCCCACCACAGACCTCAGTGTGGGATGCTCCCCTCCCTGTGTCCGTGTAAGCCTAACATTTTTAAAGCTTCACTTTTGATCCTTAGAATCCATGCCTTCATTCATTATCCTTTTTTTTTGAGACAGTCTTGCTCTGTCACCCAGGCTGAAGTGCAGTGGCATGATCTCGGCTCACTGCAAACTTCCCTTCTGGGTTGACATGATTCTCCTGCCTCAGCCTCCCGAGTAGCTGGGATTACAGGTGTGTACCAGCACACCCAGCTAATTTTTGTATTTTTAGTACAGATGGGTTTTCGCCATGTTGGCCGGCCTCCCAGAGTGCTGGGATTACAGGCGTGACCCACCATGCCTGGCCAATATCCATTTATTGAACCCCTTTCTATGCACACTGTGCAGGACTTGGGGATACACATCAAGAACACACACAGTCCCTGCCCTGAAACTGTTCACTGTTCATGAGCCTAGCAGGTATGGTAAGTGTGGCATGGGGCCCCCAGTGTGCTCTGAGCACAACAGTAACGTCCCGAGGTGGGAGTGGGGCTGGGAGCACCACAGGTACACAGGAGGGGGCCGAGGTCAGAGCTTATCCAGGAGAAAAGTAGAGACTGAAAGGGCCTGACTCTCTGGTGGCCTTCCTTTTAGATATGGCTGGAATAGTAAGCAGGAGCTCCTCACTGACATCTCACCCGAAGGGTTTTAAGTGGATCTTAGTGCCCTGGCCCAGAAGGACACTGGCTTTTCAAGCAGAAGATGTGTTCCGATTTGCCGCTTAAGAAAGTCTAGGCCAGGCTTGGTGGCTCATGCCTGTGATCCCAGCCCTTCGGGAGGCTGAGGTGGCTGGATCACCTGAGGTCAGGAGTTCAAGACCAGCCTGACCAACATGGAGAAACCCTGTCTCTACTAAAAATACAAAGCTAGCTGGGCGTGGTAGCGTATCCCTGTAGTCCCAGCTACTTGGGAGGCTGAGGCAGAAGAATCGCTTGAACCCAGGAGGCAGAGGTTGCAGTGAGCCAAGATCGTGCCACTGCACTCCAGCCTGGCGACAGAGCCAGACTCGGTCTCAAAAAAAAAAAAAAAAAAAGGTGGGCATGGTGAGAGAGGGGACTTTGTTTTAAAGCTCTTTAGGAGACAGGATTTGAGAGAACCTGTTTGCTTGGGGGAGATGTCTAGGGTGACCGCCATGTTTGAGGCTCAGGTAACTAAGGTGGGTGTTACAGACTGAATGTTTATGTACCCCCAAATGCATTTGTTGAAATCCTAACCCCCAATGTGATGGTATTTGGAGGTGGGGCCTTTGGGAGGTTAGATCATGAGGGTGGAGCCCTCATAAATGGGATTAGTGCTCTTATAAAAGGGACCCCAGAGAGCTCTCTCGCTCTTCCTGCACCGTGAGATACAAGTTGGCAGCCTGCATCCTGGCAGAGGGCACTCACCTGCACCTGACCATGCCGGCACATGGTCTAGGACTTCCGGCCTCCAGAACTGTGAGAAATAATTTCTGCTGTTTAACCCACTCCGTCTGTGGTGCTTTGCAGCTCATACTGACTAAGGCAGTAGGACATACAGGAGGAAGAGGAGCAGCTTTCACAGAGGGAACACATGAGTTCAATTTTGGACTGCTCAGTAGTCAGTGTGCTCAGTGGTGGCATCTTCAAAAGGAAGCTGTCACAAGTCAAATTCTGGAGAGTTGAGTGTAAATGGGAGGTGAAGAAAAGGAGGCAGCACTTGTAGCCTTTTTTTTAAATGAGATGGAGTTTTGCGCTTGTCACCCAGGCTGGAGTGCAATGGCACAGTCTCGGCTCACTGCAATCTTCACCTCCCAAGTTCAAGTGATTCTCCTGCCTCAGCCTCCCAGGTAGCTGAAATTACAGGTGTGCGCCACTGCACCCAGCTAACTTTTTTGTATTATTAGTAGAGACAGTTTCACCATGTTGGCCAGTCTGGTCTTGAACTCCTGACCTCAGGTGATCCACCCGCCTTGGCCTCCCAAAGTGCTGGGATTATAGGCGTGAGCCACCGCACCTGGCCTGCCTGCTGTTAACGTATTTCTGCACTCTAGACTAGTAGCCTATTCGACAGGACACTTGGATGTCTCCTAGATGTCACAAATTCAGCTTGTTCAAAAATGAACTCTTCTAGGTATATGGAAAGATGTGAAGAAGAAAATATAGCAATAAGTTGTAGAACCCAGGTGGTACGTATATGAGTGTTTACAGTCTGTCTTTCTGTATTTTTGAAATTTTTTATGGTAAAATATTAAGAAAAAAGGAGTGGGCCTATTCTCTTTATCCTCCAACTATTCTTTTTTTTCTTTTTTTGAGATGGAGTCTTGCTCTGTCGTCAGGCACCAGGCTAGAGTGCAATGGCACGATCTCGGCTCACTGCAACCTCTGCCTCCTGGGTTCAAGCAATTCTCCTACCTCAGCCTTCCGAGTAGCTGGGACTACAGGTGCGTGCCACCATGCCCAGCTAATTTTTGTATTTTTTACCATGTTGGCCAGAATGGTTTCGATCTCTTGACCTCGTGATCCACCCACCTCTGCCTCCCAAAGTGCTGGGATTATAGGCGTGAGCCACCACGCCCAGCACCTCTAACTATTCTCCCCATGAACCTTATCTCAATAAATAGAACAACTCTTTAGTCAGTTGTTTAGGCCAGAGAATAACAGAGTTATTAGGCCTGAGAATATCATTCTTTAGTTTCTCTCTTTTTCCCTGATACTCCAGTCAGTCACCAAGTCTCTTAAGTGGCTCTCAAATCCATCAGCAATGGAGTTACACTTTACACTAGGTTAGGATCTAAGTCAGTACATAAGGACAAATTACGTAGTTAGCATAACCTTTGGAAATGACTGGCCAGGCACGGTGGCTCACACTTGTAATCCCAGCATTTTGGGAGTCCGAGGTGGGCAGATCACCTGAGGTCAGGAATTCCTGACCAGCCTAGTCAACATGATGAAACAACATCTCTACCAAAAATACAAAATCAGCTGGGCATGCTAGTGCATGCCTGTAGTTCCAGCTATTCGGGATGCTGAGGCAGGAGAATCACCTGAACCTGGGAGGCAGAGGTTGCAGAGAGCTGAGATTGTGCCACTGCACTGTAGCCTGGGCGACAAGAGCAAAACTCTGTCTAAAAAGAATAGGTAGGTAGGTAGGTAGGTAGATAGATAGATAGATGATAGATACACACACACACATATATATAATAAAAGTATGCAAAACATAAATATATAGCTCAATGGATGGTTATAAAATGAACCTCCCACAACAACTGCCTCAGTCAAAACAAAGTTCTAGACGCCTCCAGAGTGCTGCTTCTGATGACGGCCTCCTCCCGAGCCCAGGAAGGAATCCTGCTCCCTTGATAGTTATAGTCCTCACTCAGTTGCTTGTTAAAACTAATTTTACCACCTAAAAATGAATTCTAAAAGCAATCACTTAGAATTTTGTAAACTGCTTTATTGAGATATAATTCACATACCATCAATTCACCCATGTCGAGTATACCGTTCAATGGTTTGTGGTATATTACATTATTAATTTTCAAAAATAGTGGTAAAATAGGCCAAGTGTGGTAGCTCACGCCTCTAATCTCAGCACTTTGGGAGGCCAAGGCAGGCATATCATGAGGTCAGGAGTTCAAGACCAGCCTGACCAACATGGTGAAACCCCGTCTCTACTAAAAATATGAAAATTAGCTGGGCATGGAGACACACACCGGTAGTCCCAGCTACTCAGAGGCTGAGGCAGGAGAATCGCTTAAACCTGGGAGGCAGAGGTTGCAGTGAGCCAAGATCGCACCACTGCACTCCAAACTGGGCAACAGAGTGAGACTCTATCTTAAAAAAATTGTGGTAAAATAAATGTATGGGCCAGGATTGGTGGCCCATGCCTGTAATCCCAACACTTTGGGAGGCCAAGGCAGGCAGATCACCTGAGGTCGGGAGTTCAAGACCAGCCTGACCAACATGGAAAAACCCTGTCTCTATTAAAAACACAAAATGAGTTGGGCGTGGTGGTGCGCGCCTGTAATCCCAGCTACTCAGGAGGCTGAGGCAGGAGAATTGCTGGAACCCAGGAGACGGAGGCTGCAGTGAGCCAAGATCGAACCATTGCACTCCAGCCTGGGCAACACGAGCAAAACCCCGTCTCAATAAAGAAATAAATAAGTAAATGTATGACAAAATTTGCCATTTTAACCATTTTTAAGTGTACAATTCAGTGGCACTAATTATATTGTTCAACCGTCACCACTATCTACTCCAGAACTTTTCATCATCCCAAACAGAAGCTCTGTAACCATTAAGCAATAACTGGCATTCCACCTCCCATTAGTCCCTGATAACTCCTAATATACTGTCTATGAATTTGCCTATCCTGGGTACCTCATATAAAGTGCCTACAATGTTTGTCCTTTTGCGTCTGGCTTATTTCACTTAGCATAATGTTTTCAAGGTTCATCCATGTTATAGCATGTATCAGAACTTAATTCCCTTTTATGGCTGAGTAACATTCCACTGTATGTATATACATACAATGTGTGTATATGCCACATTTTGTTCCAGTTTTAAGCTATTTCAAATATGCTACTGTAAAAATGGGGCTGGACACAGTGGCTCACGCCTACAATCTCAGCACTTTGGGAGGCCAAGGCGGGCAGACCACCTGAGGTCAGGGGTTTGAGACCAGCCTAACCAACATGAAGAAAACCTGCCTCTACTAAAAATACAAAATTTGCTGGGCACAGTGGCTCATGCCTGTGATCGCAGCACTTTGGGAGGCCAAGGTTGGTGGATCACCTGAGGTCAAGAGTTCAAGACCAGCTTGGCCAATATGGTGAAACATCATCTCTACTAAAAATACAGAAAATTAGCCAGGTGTGGTGGTGGGCGCCTGTAATCCCAGCTACTTGGGAGGTTGAGGCAGGAGAATTGCTTGAACCCAGGAGGCGGAGGTTGCAGTGAGCCAAGATCATGCCACTGCACTCCAGCCTGGGTGACTGAGTGAAACTTCGTCTCAGAAAAAAAAAAAAATTAGCTGGGCATGCCTGTAATCCCAGCTACTCAGGTAGCTGCCTCTGAGGCACAAGAATCACTTGAGCCCAGGAGGCAGAGCTTGCAGTGAGGTGAGATCATGCCACTGCACTCCAGCGTGGATGGGCGACAGAGCCAGATCCTGTCTGAAAACAAAAACAAAATTAGCCAGGTGTGGTGGTGCATGTCAGTAATCCTAGCTACTTGGGAGGCTGAGGCAGGAGAATCACCTGAACCTGGGAGGCAGAGGTTGCAGTGAGCCGAGATTGTGCCATTGCCCTCCAGCCTGGGTAACAAGAGCGAAACTTTGTCTCTGAATGAATGAATGGATAAATAAATAAATAAATAAATAAATAAAATATGTTATCAGGTAAATAGCTAGGAGTAGAATTGCTGGGTGAGTCTATTCCGCTTAACTAGAGAAAGGCAAGTGGTTGTGCTAATTTTCCTTCCCAGAGGCAGTGTATGAGAGTTCCAGTTGTTCCACGCCCTCACCAGTTCTTGAGGTTGTCAACGTGGTTGACCATTCTGGTGAGTTTGTGGTACCTTGGTATGGGTTGAACTTGCATTTCTGTGTCTATAAATGAGGTTAAACATCTTGTGATATGTCAGCTGGCCATTTGGATATCTTCTGTGGAATGGCTGCTCAAGTCCTTTGCCTATCTTCTGAAAGTGTTATTGTTTTCTTTGCTCATTTAAGATTGGAAAACACCTGGAGTTGATTTTGACATATACTGGGAAGTAGGGGGTCATGATACATAGTATTCCCTTTGGAGATTCAGTTATTCCAGCACCATGTGTTGAAAAGATTTTTTTTTTGAGACAGAGCTTCGCTCTTGTTACCCAGGCTGGAGTGCAATGGCGCGATCTCGGCTCACTGCAACCTCCGCCTCCTGGGTTCAGGCAATTCTCCTGCCTCAGCCTCCTGAGTAGCTGGGATTACAGGCACGCACCACCGTGCCCAACTAATTTTTGTATTTTTAGTAGAGACGGGGTTTCACCTTGTTGACCAGGATGGTCTCGATCTCTTGACCTCGTGATCCACCCGCCTCGGCCTCCCAAGAAAAGACTGTTTTTAACCGTCTGCAAGCAAGGTTTGTCATAAATCGAATGTCCATAATTGCCGGGGTCTATCTGTAGGCCTTCGGTGGTATTATTTATTTCTTGTTGCACAATACTTCGCAGTTGATAGCTTTCCATTTTGATTTGTACAGGCCAAGCACTGCCTCCCAATTTGTTCTCCAGGCACACCTTGGCTGTAGTTTAATGATTAAACGCAAATGGTAGGAACAGTATGTACAAATCTTTATGTAAGTCTTAAAAATAGAAAAGCCGGGTGGGTGCAGTGGCTCACACCTGTAATCCCAGCACTTTGGGAGGTTGAGGTGGGAGGATTACCTAAGGTCAGGGGTTCAAGACCAGCCTGGCCAACATGGTGAAACTCTGTCTCCACTAAAAATACAAAAATTAGCTGAATGTAATGGCGCATGTCTGTAATCCCAGCTACTCAGGAGGGTGAGCCAGGAAAATTGCTTGAACCCAGGAGGCGGGGGTTTCAGTGAGCCGAGATGGTGCCACTGCACTCCAACCTGGGCAAAAGAGCAAGACTCTGTCAAAAATAAAAAATAAAAAAAGTTGGTAGCACTATTCAGTACAGTAGCCACCGGCCACTTGTGACTACTGAGCATTTGAAATGTGACTGCTCTGAATTGCAATGCGCTGTAAGTGTAAAATACACAATGGATTTCTACAATAAAGGGTGCAAGATATCAAATTAATATTTTTCTTGTTGATTACATGTTGACATGATAATTGGGGGGTATACTGGATTAATGAACTCTAGATAGATAGATAGATAAAGTATTTTTTGGCCAGGCCTGGTGGCTCACGCCTATAATCCCAGCACTTTGGAAGGCCGAGGCGGGTGGATCACAAGGTCAAGAGATCGAGATCATCCTGGTCAACATGGTGAAACCCTGTCTCTAGTAAAAATAAAAAAAAATTAGCTGGGCATGGTGGCACGCGCCTGTAGTCCCAGGTACTCGGGAGGCTGAGGCAGGAGAATTGCTTGAACCCAGGAGGCGGAGGTTGTGGTGAGCCGAGATTGTACCATTGCACTCCAGTCTGGGCAACAAAAGCGAAACTCTGTCTCAAAAAAAAAAAAAAAATCTTATGGTTTTGCTGTTAGGTTTTCTGTTATGTGTAAACCAAAGGATTCCTAGCTGACATGTCATCCCTGAAGTCTCAGCTTTAAATGCCATTCCTCAGGAAGGCCCTCCTGAAACCCCCAGATCAACACATTCTCTAACACTCCCCACTGTCCCTGAGTACCCCTCATCATACTTGTAATTATTAATATTTGTTGAATGATGTCTTTGTCTCTGGGCTATTTGCTCCACAAGAGCAGAGACTATGACAGGCATCCCAGAGCCTAGCCCAGTAACAGGCACAGGAGCTGCTACATAAATAGCAAAAAAAAGAAAAAAAAAAAGAAAGAAAGGAAAGAAAATGAAAGGATTGAGAGCAGAGGTGGAGGGAGAAACAGGATGAAAACTGTGGAAGGTGTGAATTGAACTACGTGCAGTTGGGCTTCTGCTATCACATGAAAACTTTAAAGCTTAGTGAATCATTAAAGAAGGTTGGAATGGCCATTGTGGGAATTGGGTATGAGTGTTTATCTGGTACAGTAAGAGCTGCCAAGTAGTGGTAAAGGCCCTGCTGGGATTAGGAACCGTACGTGTGCACTGGCAGAAACCAGCAGAATTAGAAGATTTCCTCTAGCAGCGTTCAGCCATCTGGGTGGCGGAAAGAAGCTGGGTAATTAGGTCAGCCCCAAGATGGGGGCTTGGAGGGCAGGCTGCTGCTTTTTGTACCTTTCTCAGATGAGGTAAATGAAAATAGATGTGGAATTTTGTTTTCCTTGTCCCCAAAATCAAACCCTGTAGAACTCAAAGGCTTGCCCATTTGCTCCAGATGGGAGAATATCTGTAGGCTGAAGCATTTACCCGCAAATGTCTTCCCCTATGGCATGCTTGCCTAGGGGGGCCCAAGGACAGGCTTGTGGGGATCTGGGAATTTCCTAACGTATGTGCAAGATGCTACGTGTCTGTGTGTCTGCATATTTCTAGGGTGAGGACCTGTAGCTTCCATCAAATTCTTCAGTCTGTGATCTGGAAAGACAAGAGCCCCTGACTTGGGTCAGCTCGTAGCCCAGGCCCTCGATTCATTGCTGTGGATCAGGGCCTGACTGATGGGCAGTCTCATCCCTGCCTATTGACAAGGGGTGGTGTGGCACAGAGGTAGATGTGCAGAGGCCTGGGCTGCACCACCTCAGGGAAGCTACTTAGCTCCTCAGTTTTCTCTTCTGTAAAATGGGAATGATAATCCCAGTTCCTTATTTCAGAGGGCTGTGAAAATTAGGTGAGATAATACATGCAAATGATTAGGCCATGCTAGGTACTTAGTAATGGCTGGTTTTCACTATGACTAACAGGACACACAAGAACAAAGGCTTGGAATGGGGAGGCAGCATCTGGGGGAGCACAGTTACAGCTAACTTTGTGCAAAGCACATCTGATCATTCTCTCCCTTCTGATACTTACTGTGTGGTCCCGTGCAGGTCCTTTTTTTTTTTTTTTTTTTTTTTTTTTTTTTTTTGAGACGGAGTCTTGCTCTATCGCCCAGGCTGGAATGTAATGGGGTGATCTCCACTCACCGCATACTCCACCTCCTGGGTTCAAGCCACTGTCTTTCCTCAGCCTCCCAAGTAGCTGCAATTACAGCGTGCACCAACATGCCCAGCTTAATTTTTTGTATATTTAGTAGAGATGGGGTTTCACCGTGTTGGCTAGGATGGTCTCAAACTCCTGACCTGGTGATCTGCCTGTCTAAGCCTCCCAAAGTCCTAGGATTACAGGCATGAGCCACTGTGCCTGGTCTGCAGATTCCTTAATCACTCTGTGCCTCAGTTTCCTTGTCTGTAAAATGGAGATAACAGCAACTGCCTCATGGATTGCGGGGACTCTCTGAGGGCTCCTGCATACTAAGTGCTGGTGATTATTGCGATTTTTTTTTTTTTTTTTGAGATGGAGTTTCGCTCTTGTTACACAGGCTGGAGTGCAATGGCACGATCTCGGCTCACCGCAACCTCCATCTCCTGGGTTCAGGCAATTCTCCTGCCTCAGCCTCCTGAGTAGCTGGGATTACAGGCACGTGCCACCGTGCCCAGCTAATTTTTTTTTTTTTGTCTTTTTGGTAAAGACAGGGTTTCACCATGTTGACCAGGATGGTCTCGATCTCTTGACCTCGTGATCCACCCCCGCCTCGGCCTCCCAGAGTGCTGGGATTACAGGCGTGAACCACTGCGCCCTGCGATTATTGTGATTTTTACTGCCCAGGGCCCGCATGCAGGCTCCTCATCTTGATACTAAAGGCTCTTCCCGGGCCGGGTGTGGTGGCTCACGCCTGTAATTCCAGCACTTTGGGAGGCCGAGGCGGGTGGATCACGAGGTCAAGAGATCGAGACCATCCTGGTCAACATGGTGAAACCCCGTCTCTACTAAAAATTCAAAAAATTAGCTGGGCATGGTGGCACGTGCCTGTAATCCCAGCTACTCAGGAGGCTGAGGCAGGAGAATTGCCTGAACCCAGGAGATGGAGGTTGCGGTGAGCCGAGATCGTGCCATTGCACTCCAGCCTGGGTAACAAGAGCGAAACTCCGTCTCAAAAAAAAAAAAAGAAATGCTCTTCCCAGCAGGCCTTGCTTGCCCCACACTGAAGCCTTCACAGCCCAGCAGGCACCTTCACACGCATATCTGTCTCCAGCGGCTCTATGGGCGGAAGCTCCGGGCACAGGAGACAGCGAGTACCAATCGCAGGCCCGCAACCCCCCGCGCCCTTCCTCAGGGTATTCCCTTCCAAGGGCGCCCTCGCTCTTCTTTTCCCAAGCTCTACCTATAGAAATCTCACTTTGAGTTCAAAGCGGAACTCCAGAAACCACATCGTCCATAACGCCTTCCTGAATCCTCTCATCCGAAGCCCCTGTTCTGAGCCAGTCATGTGGCATGTGCAGTTTGCAGGGACTACACGGCCCAGTTCCGTAACTGCACAGCAGCCTCTGCGGACAGGCCTGGCCCAGCCCTCTTCTTTTTACCACATCTGTCACCATCTTTGCACAGAGAATGCCTTTGGTAGAGAGCTCCTGAACAACGAAAATGGAATGCTCAATTATTCTACTATTTCAAGGCATTCACACATCTAAGGGAAGGGAGAAGGAATCCCCAAATCACTGATCTGCTCTGTAGACTAAGAAACTGATTATACAAATGGACAATGGCCATACCACATATAAAAATGCAACTCTCGGGGATCCACAATGTCCGTCCAGCAGCAGCTCAGGGTTGCAGCTCCCAGTGAAGGCACAGCGAGTGTGGACGCCAGACTTCCAGACGAATTTTTGCTGTTTACGGACCAGGAGATTCCCAGCGGAGGAGCCCCACGGGTCGCCAACGCGACTCTTCTGGCCGGCACAGCGGTTCTCAGTGCGGAGTATGCGGGACTGGGTGCCCTTTTAGTTGGCGTTTGGAGCTCCGAGAAGGCAGAGTCACCCATCCAGCTGATTGAGACGGGGACTGAAGCCGGGAACCAGACCAGGGAATTCCCGGGCAGAAAAGCGCCACGAGTCTCAGCGCCGCTGTTTCAGCCGCAGGCGAAATTGCATAGATCCCGGCGCCTTTTCAGCGGGCGACTGGGACACCTGGGAGAGAATCGACCGTTCAATTAGGAAAAGAAAAAAAGGGGGCTCCGAGGCGGGGAGCCAGGTGATCGGGCTTGTCTTGTCCCACCCCCACAGAAAGACAGCAATTGGAAACGCTGACAGTTGAGAGTTTCACAGCAAGTACAGCTGAACCCGGGAAGGTCCAGCTCTGTGGGGGAGGGGCATCCACTGAAGGAAAACTAAGAAACAGAAAAACTTCATCACCACCACCAAGCTGGACCCACTCAGAGACCCAATCTGAAAGTCAGCAATTACAAAGACGACAGGAGGATAAATCAACAAAGATGGGAAGAAACCAGTGCAAAAAGGCTGAAAACATCTAAAATCAGAATGCCTCTCCTCCTTCAGGGGATCGTAGCTCCTCATCAGCAAGGGAACAAGGACTGATGGAGAAGGAGTGTGATGAATTGCCAGGATCAGGCTTCAGAAGGTGGATAATAAGAAACTTCTGTGAGCTAAAAGAACATGTTCTAACCCAATGCAAAGAAACTAAGAACCTTGAAAAAAGGTTTGACGAAATGCTAATGAGAATAGACAATTTAGAGAGGAATATAAGTGAATTAATAGAGCTGAAAAACAACACGAGAACTTCGTGAAGTATGCACAAGTTTTAACACTCAAATCGATCAAGCAGAAGAAAGGATATTAGAGGTCGAAGACCAACTCAATGAAATAAAATGAGAAGACAAGATTAGAGAAAAAAGGATAAAAAGGAATGAGCAAAGTCTCCAAGAAATGTGGCACTATGTGGAAAGATCTAATCTACCTTTGATAGGTGTACCTGAATATGATGAAGAGAATGAATCCAAGCTGGAAAATACTCTTCAGGATATTATTCAGGGAAACTTTCCCAACCTAGCAAGGCAGGACAATACTCAACCCCAGGTAATACAGAGAATACCACAAAGATATTCCTCAAGAAGAGCAACCCCAAGGCACATAATCGTCAGATTCGCCAGGGCTGAAATGAAGGAGAAAATGCTAAGGGAAGCCAGAGAGAAAGGTCAGGTTACCCATAAAGGGAAGCCTATCAGACTCACAGCAGATCTCTCGGCAGAAACACTACAAGCCAGAAGAGAGTGGGGGCCAATATTCAACATCCTTAAAGTAAAGAACTTTCAACACAGAATTTCATATTCAGCCAAACTAAGCTTCACAAGTGAAGGAAAAATAAAATCTTTTGTGAACAAGCAAGTACTCAGAGATTTCATTACCACCAGGCCTGCTTTGCAGGAGCTTCTGAAAGAGGCACGACACCTAGAAAGGAACAACCAGTATCAGCCTTTCCAAAAATATACCAAAAAGTAAAGAGCATCAACATAATGAAGAATTTACATCAACTAATGGGCAAAACAGCCAGCTAGCATCAAATGGCAGTATTAAACTTACATATATTATTAATCCTGAATTTAAATCGACTAAATCCCCCAATCAAAAGACACAGACAGGCAGATTGGATGGAAAGCCAGGACCCATCGGTATGCTGCATCCAGACCCATCTCACATGCAAGGATACACAAAGACTCAAAACAAAGGGATGGAGGAAGATTTACCAACCAAATGGAGAGCAAAAATAAATAAATAAATAAAAAGCAGGAGTTGCAGTTTTGCCTCTGATAGACTTTAAAGCAACAAAGATCAAAAGAGGCAAAGAAGGACATTACATAATGGTAAAAGGATCAATGCAACAAGAAGAGGTAACGATCCTAAATATGTACATACCCAATCCAGGAGCACCCAGATACATAAGACAAGTTCTTAATGACTTATAGAGACTTAGACTCCCACACAATAATAGTGGGAGACTTTAACATCAATTGTCAATATTAGACAGATCAACGAGGCAGAAAATTAACAAGGATATCCAGGACTTGAACTCAGACCCGGAACAAGTAGACTTAATGAACATTTATAGAACTCTCTACCCCAAATGCACAAATCATACAGTCTTATCAGTACCACATCACACCTACTCTAAAAGTGACTGCATAATTGGAAGTAAACAACTCCTCAGCAATTGCATAGCATTTCACGGGTTTAAATGAAATATTGGTTGGCTGTTTGTTTGTTATTTCCTCCCTTATTCCTTAAAAAATAATAATAAAAATAAAAATACAACTCTTACCCACAGCCTTCGATCACTTGCTGGGGAAACTAAGTGATTATCTGCCACAATTAACCTGGGAGGTCGTCCTGCCATAAGTCAGGCTTGCAAGAAGCCAGGTTACTCTCTCTAGTGACAATCCAGGAAGCTAAACAATGACCAACAGCGTCTGTAACGATCAGCCCCATAATGGCCAGAGCTTGATTAGTAACTGACAGTTTCCTTAATTGTGTTCCTACTTGCAACTTAGGACCAACCAGGGAAAGCCAAATATGCATCCCTAACCAAGCACACGGGATGCCCTGCTTCTAGTTAGCCCATGGGCAGCTTCCCCACACCAACAGCCTCCCATCAGGGTGCACCTGAAACCTTCCCTGTCCTCAGCTGTAAAGCTGTCCCACTTCTCTGCCTGCCTCTGAAGTTCTGTCAAAATGCAAGTGATGCCCTTGCTATAGCAAACTCAGAATAAATAATCTTTGCTTTTTTAAGTTGGTTTTTCCTTTATTTCCACAAGACCCAGAAATGAAAGCGCAGGGAGCAGGGGCTGGGCCCTCCTGTCAGTTCCCTCGTTCCCCTGGAGTGGAGCTCTGAGCTCTGGAACCCCAGAGTTGGCTGTTACACTGGAAACACTGATCAAACCTTTGGACTCAGCTGAGCTAGGGTGGGAGAAGCCAGTTGACTCAGATGAAATCCTCCAGGCATAAAAATCACAAAAGAGTTTTTGTTAGATGCTGGTTGGGAGGGAGTGGCTCCAGAGGTCTGGGGAAAGGCCAGGCCGGCTGGCATTATGCGGGAAAGGCAGCAACTTGGCCTAGAATGGGAGCCAGGGGTTGCCAGGACCCACCTTGGTGGGACAGAGAATTGAGTCACAATTCTTATCTCACCTCCGCTATGATCCTTTCTTCATTCTACAGATGTTCACTAAGTGCATGGTGTGTGCGGCAGGCCCTGTTCTGAGAGATGACAGGCAAGGCCACCGGCGCCGTGGAGCTCGCCCCCTAATGGTGAGACAAACAGTGAATGACTTTAAAGAAAAAGGTAATTTAAAAGGTGGAAAGTGCCCTGAAGAAGATAAACAAAGATACGCCTATAATCCCAGCACTTTGGGAGGCCGAGGCAGGTGGATCACGAGGTCAAGAGATCGAGATCATCCTGGTCAACAAGGTGAAACCCCATCTCTACTAAAAATACAAAAAATTAGCTGGGCATGGTGGCGCATGCCTGTAGTCCCAGCTACTCAGGAGGCTGAGGCAGGAGAATTGCCTGAACCCAGGAAGGCGGAGGTTGTGGTGAGCTGAGATGGCGCCATTGCCCTCCATCCTGGGTAACGAGAGCGAAACTCCGTCTCAAAAAAAGAAAAAAAAAGAAAAGAAAAGAAGATAGTGCAACAGAGAGAAAGGGTGCGAGGTGTGCGGACACACTTCCCTCTCTTTTTCTTTCTTTCTTTTTTTTTTTGAGATGGAGTTTCGCTCTTGTTACCCAGGCTGGAGTGCAATGGTGCGATCTTGGCTCACCGCAACCTCCGCCTCCTGGGTTCAGGCAATTCTCCTGCCTCAGCCTCCTGAGTAGCTGGGACTACAGGCACGCGCCACCATGCCCAGCTAATTTTTTGTATTTTTAGTAGAGACGGGGTTTCACCATGTTGACCAGGATGGTCTTGATCTCTTGACCTCGTGATCTACCGGCCTCGGCCTCCCAAAGTGCTGGGATTACAGGCATGAACCACCACCACGCCCGGCTGTTTTGTTTTTTGAGATGGAGTCTCATTCTGTCACTGGGACTACAGGCGGCATGCCACCACTACCCAGCTGATTTTGTATTTTTAGTAGAGACGGGGTTTTGCCATGTTGGCCAAGCTGGTTTCAAACTCCTGACCTCAGGTGATCCGCCCGCCTTGGCCTCCCCAAGTGTTGGGAATACAGACCTGAACCACAGCACCGGGCCTCCCCCCGCCCCACCTCCAGATTCTAATTCCTAAGCAGTAAGAACCCAGAGCTTTTATCAGCCTCTCAGGAGAGTCTCTGTGACCAAAAAGATACAAAAAGGAGAATATTGACACATGTGCTTCCGTATGCATGGGGTATTTTAATAAGGACACAGACGTGGCCTTGGAGGCAACCTGGGAACAGGAGACGTGTCGTGAATCCTGTTTTGCACTAGTTGACCAGGCTGGAGTGGAATGTCAGTCTTAGCTCACGGCATCCTCTGCCTCCTGGGTTCAAGCAATTCTCCTGCCTCAGCCTCCCGAATAGCTGGGATTACAGGCATGCACCACCACACCCAGCTAATTTTCATATTATTAGTAGAGATGGGGTTTCGCCATGTTGGCGAGGATGGTGTCCAACTCCCGACCTCAGGTGATCCACCTGCCTCAGCCTCCCAAAGTGCTAGGATTACAGGCATGAGCCACTGCACCCGGCCACTTTACCTGTTTTTAAAATCCGGTGTAAATGACCGACGCTGTGGATGAGGATGGCGTGGGGAGGAGGGTGCTGAAGTCTCGGCATGTTAGGAACCTGGGGGAAGCCCTTCCCACCCTTAACCCAACCTTCTGGGCCAGGGCAGGGCAGTGACGTGACAAACCCAGGCGGCCCCACCCTACCCTTAACCTGTGCTCACACGCCTTGACTCTGAGGAGCTGGTCCTGAACAGGCGGGGCACAGGAGGGCGGCACCTCCCCTAAGCCGGAGGAGACCGCAGCTGCCCTGCAGGGGTGGGCTGCACTGCTCTGCAAGAGACCCCTGGAGAGGGACGCCCTTTGTCCAGGCCACTGAAGCCACTGTTGTCCTGTGTGCGTGCCCGAGGCTCTTCTGAGCTCCGCACTTCATGGAAAGAGCCCCACACCTCGTTGGCCCTGACAGGAGCGCTTTGCTCAGACCTGGGTTCTTATGAAGGGTTCAAATCCTGCTGGACGCGGTGGCTCACGCCTGTAATCCCAGCACTTTGGGAGGCTGAGGTGGGCAGATCACGTGAGGTCAGGAGTTTGAGACTAGCCTGACCAATAATGGTGAAACCCCCTATTTAAAAAAAAAAAAAAAAAGTGTTCAGCCCCAACGTGCTGGTTGGTCATTTTGCCTTCAGTCAAAGTCCACTTCACTCTGCCTGGCATCGGTGCCGGGGCCTACTCAGGAGATGAGACCGAGAGAGCACTGTCCTCTAACTCTCGCCAGAATCTTGGCTGGAATTTACTTTGCCTCCCCACAAATAGTCCCTGGCCTGACCTTCAGGACCCATCTGTTCTCAGCAATCAGCCAGCCCCTCCTGGTGTTCAGATCCCCAGTAATCTGGGGCCACGAGCCGGGGAACAGAGTCCGCTGGTGATGACAGGTCCCTGGCAGGATTCGAAGCGGCTGAGGGCCTCCTGGGCCAGCGCTTGGGTGAACCAGAGCATGGTTCTCCTCTGCTTGGGAACAGCTGGGGCTGTTGCATAGCTTCCTCCCAAGGCCTTTGAAATGGCCTCCTCTGAGGGATCAGAGTGCAGTCACTCATACTTGTATGAACAAACAGTATTTTAATGCCAAATCTAACTTGATTTTTTTTTCATTTTGAGACTGCGTCTCACTTCATTACTCGGGCTGGAGTGCAGAGGTGCGATCTCAGCTCACTGCAACCTCCACCGCCCAGGTTCAAGCAATTCTCCTGCCTCAGCCTCCCAAGTAGTTGGGACAACAGGTGCCTACCACCACATGAAGGTAATTTTTGCATTTTTAGTAGAGATGGGGTTTCACCACATTGGTCAGGGTGGTCTGGAACTCGTGAGCTCAAGTGATCTGCCTACCTTGGCCTCCCAAAGTGCTGGGATTACAGGCATGAGCCACTTTAACCTGGCTCAAATCTAACTCTGAATTAAACAGTAATATCAGCCAATATGTGTGGGGGACTTACACTGTTCAGTTATGCGCTTTTTTTTTTTTTTTTTGGAGACAGAGTTTTGCTCTGTTACCAGGTGCCAGGCTGGAGTGCAGTGGTGCGATCTCGGCTCACTGCAACCTGCACCTCCCAGATTCAAGCAGTTCTCCTGCCTCAGCCTCCCAAGTAGCTGGGATTACAGGCACGGGCCACCATGCCCAGCTAATTTTTGTATTTTTAGTAGAGACGGGGTTTCATCTTGTTGACCAGGATGATCTCGATATATCTTGACCTTGTGATCCGCCTGCCTCGGCCTCCAAAAGTGCTGGGATTACAGGCGTGAGCCACCGCGCCCGGCCCCAGTTATGGGCTTTATGTGTATCTTTTCATTTAAACTCCACAGCACCCCGACACTTGGCATACTTCACACAGCCAGTTGGCCAGGGAGCCGGGGCAGCCTGTAAATGCTCTGCCTGGAGCTGCTGATAAAGAAAAACAGATCCACAGAAGGCCCCACAGTTTGGCACTGCATGGACTTCCCAAAAGTCCACATCCTGATGACTGGTTCCACACCTGGGGCTTAGAGCACGCAGCGAGGGCTGAGAAACGGCCACCACATACTCGGTGACTGAAATGTCATCGCACAGTCCTTTGTGCCAGGCCTTGTGGGGAAACAGACAGGTAAGGCAAGGCCCTCCTCTGAGGGATTTCTAGTGTGAGTACTGAAAATTTAATAACATAAAGACACAGCCTACCTGTGGTCACACCATGGCATGAGCCATGTGGATTCCAAGCGCTGAATGAAGCTGGAAGGGCAGAGGTGACATTGGGCCAGTATGTGCTTCTTGGAAAGGTGGCATTTGAGTCTCTTGAAGAATGAGCAGGAGATGAGGCACAGGAAGGAGAAGGCATTCCTGGGATGCCATGAGCGAAGTGTCACAGTTTTGCATCCATCACCATCATCCATGTAAGAGTGAGGACAGCTCAGCCAGGCGGTGGCCGCAGAATGGAGGCAGAAACACAAGTATGTGGAGAAGGAAGGAAGCCTTTGGGTTAAAAGGCCAAGGACCTGCAGTCTAACCCTGTGTTTGTCCCTAAACCCAAGGCCAATCATGTTGCTTCCGAGGCAGTTTCTTCATCTGTGAAATGAAAGGAGCGGGCAAGGCCGGGCGCGGTGGCTCATGCCTGTAATCCCAGCACTTTGGGAGGCCAAGGCGGGTGGATCACGAGGTCAAGAGATTGAGACCATCCTGGTCAACAAGATGAAACCCCATCTCTACTAAAAATACAAAAATTAGCTGGGCATGGTGGCGTGTGCCTGTAATCCCAGCTACTCGGGAGGCTGAGGCAGGAGAACTGCTTGAACCCAGGAGGCGGAGGTTGTGGTGAGCTGAGATCGCGCCATTGCACTCCAGCCTGGGTAACAAGAACGAAACTGTCTCAAAATAAATAAATAAATAAAAAGGACCAAGCAAGACGATCTCTTCAGTTCCTATGGCCAGGCGCGGTGGCCCCCACCTATCTTCTCAACACTCCGGGAGGCCGATGCAGAAGGATTACCGGAGCCCGCTCAAGACTAGCCTGATCAACACAGGGAGAATCTCACCTCCATAAAAAATTAAAAATACTAGCTGGACATGGTGGCAGGACCTGTGGTTCCAGCTACTCAGGAGGCTGAGGTGGGAGGACATCTGAACCTGGGACGTTGAGGCTGCAGTGAGCTGTGATCATACCACTGCACTCCAACCTGGGCAGTAAATAAATAAACAGGTAATAAAGTTCCTTACTACTCTAGAATCAGGGTAGAAGGGAGTGAAGACGACTTTAGGATTTTTTTTTTTTTTTTTGAGACGGCATTTCTCTCTTGTTACCCAGGCTGGAGTGCAATGGTGCGATCTCGGCTCACTGCAACCTCCGCCTCCTGGGTTCAGGCAATTCTCCTGCCTCAGCCTCCTGAATAGCTGGGATTACAGGCACACGCCACCAAGCCCAGCTAATTTTTTGTATTTTTAGTAGAGACAGGGTTTCACCATGTTGACCTCAATGCTCTTGATCTCTTGACCTCGTGATCCACCTGCCTCGGCCTCCCAAAGTGCTGGGATTATAGGCATTAGCCACCGCACCCGGCCTTGACTTTAGGATTTTGAAGAACATG